TCCGCTTCCAATTGAGTTTATTGTTGACTATGAGTCCGAAAGTATCACTGCTTTGGTGAATTTCGTATCCAGGCAACATAATCGGCTTAGTGCTACCCTAATGGCCTCTATTTCTCCTTCAAAAGCGGATCTGTTTTGTCCTGTTGCTGCATAGAAAGAGAAGAGTTCAGAGTAGACACCTGCACCAACGTGTGCTTGGTTTTCTATGTAAGACCCATCAGTGAAGACTTGGAGCCATTGATCTGCAGGATAGTTGACATTGATTGTCTCAAGGGTCAGTGAGCGTATTTGTCCTGGAGAGGTGTTTGATTTCCTGAAGAAGTCAAGCAGTTGAGTGCAACACACTACATCAGGATCTGCTAATAGTTTCATGAGTAGAGGGAGCCTTTTTGGTTTGTCATCGATTTGTAATTCTTTCTTCAGTTCTATGGCTTTCTGTATTAGACCAGACTGCGTTTTCAGATGTCTTGGTCTATTCTCATAGACACTGAAGAATTTATCCATAGGAATGCGCAGTAGCTGCTCATACAGGATCAAGGCCTTTCCTTTGATAAGGGAACATATTGTGGTGCTTCCTGTAACAAGGATCATTGCATCGATGGGTGTTGATTTCATCCCTCCAGTAATTAGTCGTAATGCTTGGTTGTGTGCCTTCTCGAGTGGTTTGAGAGTCACCTCTGTGGCTGTAATGAGTGGCTCACAGCAATACAACATTATTGGCTGAATAAACATCTTGTAAGTGGTGATGAGAGTTGAGCGTGCACAGTCTCATACACTACCAGCAAGACGCTTCAGTATATTCAGTCTATTGCGGATTCGTTCTGCTATTTTAGCAATGTGACTTTTCCACGTTAGCTTTGTGTCAAACGTCTTTCCGAAATAAGTGGACTCATTGATTTTTTCTATGGTAGTAACCTTGTACCTTAGAAGCGGGTTTATGCTGTGACGGGCCAAAAAAATTTCGCGGTGTTGATTACCATTCCATTGTTGTCGCACCAGTTTGCTAGTAGTTTAAGTTTACAATTTAGGGCACTTTCTGTCCTCTCCTGAGCGTTTATCTCACAGTTTAGGGCACTTTCTGTCCTCTCCTGAGCGTTTTTCTTAGGGGGTTGTCGCACCAGTTTGCTAGTAGTTTAAGAGCACAATTTAGGTCTCCTGAGCGTTTTTCTTAGGGGCGGAATACCATAGCTTTCATGTAAGTGCACAATTTAGGACACTTTCTGTCCTCTCCTTAGCTTTTTTCCTTGGGGGCGGAATACCATAGTACCAGATCATCTGCGTAAAGTAGGCGGAATACCATAGAACAAGATCATCTGCATAAAGTAAGCCCGGAATACCATAGTACCAGATCATCTGCATAAAGTAAGCAAATACCATAGCTCTCCTGAGCGTTTTTCTTAGGGGCGGACCATAGTACCAGATCATCTGCATAAAGTAAGCACTTGATCATCTGCATAAAGTAAGCACTTGATGCCCGTGATTGTCTGTAATAATTCGTCTATGACATTGATGAAGACAATGAAAAGAGTGCAGCTCGTGATAGCTCCCTGTGGAAGGCCTGTTTATAAAAGATTGGATTTCGATCGAGTGTTTCCATATCTGACTTTACATGATCTTTGTCCAATGAATGCCATCTGACTTTACATGATCTTTGTCCAATGAATGCTTTTATTCAATGACTTTACACGATCTTTGTCCAATGAATGCTTTTATCCAGTGTTAGCATCTTATGCTTAATACCAATCTTTGCCAATTTTAGAATTAGCTTCTCTATCGGTCATATGCTGATTTGAAGTCGACGAAAACAGCCGTAAGATTTATCCAATTTAGCATGTTATGCTTAATTCCAATCTTTGCCAATTTTCAAAGTAGCTTCTCTTTCCATACTAAGTCATATGCTGATTTGAAGCAGCCGTAAGGGTATTTCTTGCATCAATGTTGGGAGAAAGTGGCTACTTGTTGATTCGTTAAAACCTGCTTGTTCACTCTTAAGAATATTGTTAGTCTCGAAGAACCAGGTCAGCCTCCTATTAGGTAGGCCTATAGTTGTCAAAGTTGCTAGGGTCTTACCCTTTGTCCTATAGTTGTCAAAGTTGCTAGGGTCTTTGCCCTTTTTCAGTACTAGCATTATTTTGGCAACGCCCTTTTTTGGTACTGGTATTACTATGGCAATTTTCCATCGGGTACGAGACTGGTCTCCCAGATTTTGTTGAAAGCGTCAGGATGGTTTCCCTGGCTTTTGGTCCCATTCTAATTAGAAATTCCGAATAGGTACCATCTTCGCCAGGGGGTGAGCTGTTTATCGCAGCATTAAGTTCGCAAGGTCGGAATGGTTCAGTAATTACATTATTTGGTGTTGCTATGTTTTCCTTAATTTCGCCACATCATTTGGTGTTGCGTCTTCCTTAATTTCACCAAACTTTTGGTGTTGCGTCTTCCTTAATTTCACAAAACTGTCTTACAAGAAGCCTTTAAATCTCTTGAAGATTTTCTGACAAAAGGGTTTTCTAGAAATCTCTTGAAGATTTTCTGACAAAAGGGTTTTTCTTTTGCTTGTGCCAAACTGTCTTACTTGTTTCTTTATATCTCTTGAAGAGTCAACAAAAGGGTTTTTCTTTTGCTTGTGGGAATAGAACCTCGTAGGGTTTTTCTTTTGCTTGTGGGAATAGAATCTCGCAAAGGTTTCTTTTGCTTGTGGGAATAGAACTTCGCAAAGCAGTTAATTTTGCTTGTGGGAATAGAACCTCGCAAAGCAGTTAGCTACTTTGGATTATGGGAATAGAACCTCGCAAAGCAGTTAGCTATTTCGTTAGGTAAGCAATTTGCTGTTTAAGCGTATTGGTTCTTTTTTGTGTTGGTTCTGGGTCTTTCTCTGTTGTTTTGGAGGTTACCCAGGAATTTAAAAGTGCGTTGGCTATCACTTTGATAGTTGGTACAGATGAACTTGTCGAAGGAAGTTCGTTTAGCTTGTAAGATTGTATCACTTTGATAGTTGATATTTGAGATGAACCTGTCGAAGAAAGTCCGTTTAGCTTGTAAGATGGCTTGTCTTAGGACAGCTAACTGCCGTCACCAGGCTTGTACGTCTTCCATTCTTCCAGT